TATCAGAGATTTAATCTCTGCACCAAAAAGGCAATTTCTAGAGTCACCCAGTCTACATGCAAGTGGGGTTCAACAAGCTGTGATTTCTCTATCTACACTAATTTGGCTACCTCACATGAATTCTTATCTTTAATAGTGGCCCAGAGTTGCTTCAAGATAATCATTAAATGTATTCACTAAACTGTACTTACTAGGGTAGAAAATTGTGATAACATATTTCAGAAAAAAATCTAAGCAAAGGTTGGCCTTAAAAAATGGTATCTTAGTTAATCTTCAGTTAATTAAATTTTTCTTACTGTATCACACCACAGTAGTTGAGATGAAAGGTAATATAAAATGATCACTATTTTCTCCATATAACTGATTTTAGCAAACATTCACTCAGTGCCAGGTATGCTGTTCATTGCCAGTGGTATATGAAAATAAACACAACATAACCCTACCATTTGGAAGAGTATTTAAACCACAGAGCACAGAACAAGTGTGTGATTTGATGGCCCACAAGCTAATAATAGTTTTTTTGTTTTTAAATATGGTTGGATGAAAAGCAACAGAGTAAAACCATTTTTGCAACACATGAAAATTACATGGAATCCATTCTGTGTTCATAAAGATTTGCAGAAACACAGCCAACCTAATTTTTCATGTTTTGTCTTAGAACCTTTTTCCACTGCGATGGCTGAGTTGAGAGATTGACATGGGAACCATGTGGCCTGCAAAATGCGTTACAGAAAGCATTTGCCAACCATAGTGTTAGAAGCTCACACTCTAGAGCAGGATATCAGAACACGCATACATTTAGTTTTCATGACATATGATTAGTCCTGCACCAGAGTGACAGTGACAGCAGGCAAGTTATCCCTTACCTGGAGACATTAGAACTTAATGAGTATTTTTGATGAAAACAATGAAGGTGATGAAAGGGATTCTAAGCCAGGACGTGAAGAATGAGAGGAGAAAGAATGACAAGTTCATAGTGTGCCTGGGAGAAGTTCTACAAGGAGTGTAGAAAGACGTGGAAAATGAGATTAAGAAAGCACATGAAATCAGATTAGGATTTCAAGTCCATTCAGAGATCATGTATCTCCCATAAACAACGGTCATTAATGATTCAAAAATAGAAATATTTGATCAGATTTGTGATTTAGGAGAACAACTCTAGCAGGAGGGGGGAGACAGGAGGAGGGAAGCAAGGGAGAAGTAAAGGCAGAGAATCCAGATAAAAGGAATTTTGACACCCAGGTTAGAAATGATGCTCTGATCCTGCTAATCATAAGAGAGGAGTGGGGTTGAGAGATGCAGAAGCAATTTCAAATAACTGTGTTGGCAACCACCTGCACCTGAAGAGCAAACCCGAGGCACCCAAGTGGCCTGATCCTCCACTCACGTTCTGGGCGAAACACCGTCTGAATATGAGTTCCTTGGGGAAGAGCGCCTCATCTCATTCTTTGCTCTACCTTAGGATGCAAAACAATGTCCAAGTCTTTGTAGACACTCAGCAAATATTTTCTGAATGCGTAAGTCAACAAATGCAAGGAAGCATGGAAGGGAAAAAAGAGGTATAGGTTTGACAGAAATGATTGGATTTTTTCCCATATGTCACTTCAACAAGGATAAGATAATAAGCTCTGTTTTGGATGTCAGCTCGAGGTATCTATAGAAATATGGGTAGGATAGAAGTTATTTTAAAATATGGGCCCCATGCTCAGCTAAGAGACTGTGGTGACATTAAATGCAGCATAAATAGTATGTTTGTTTTAGTGCTGTACCTGGATGCCTTTTCTCTTGTTAAACCATACAATAAGTCTGTTTAGTTAATCAAACACTGTCTGTCTTTATAGCTTAGGTTCATTTTTCTATTCAAAAGATTTATATTTGAAACATTTGAAAGATTTACCCTACTGCCATAGTCTTTTCCAAAACTATAAATGTACTGGATAAAAGGGAAAGAAAGAAGGACATGAACTATGTCCCAAAACATCATTAAAAGATTTAATGTCTTCTGCTATGCAGCACTACAATAAAACAAAATTATAGTTATCTTAGTATGCAACACTAGCACCATTAAATTTTAAGTTGAGCTTAGAAAAGAAAAATGTGAAATGTATATGGCATTGCACCTAGAATTTTCTTTAAATATGATGAGAAGCATTCGGTAAACAAAAACACTTGGTGGTATTGCAACTCTGTGCTCAGACTTGTTGCATCTTATGATTGGAAAGTGAAGCAGAACTCCAACGCCCAAGGCCAGGTTGGTTGGGTGTGCGTCCTCCACAAGCTGGAACCACATGGCAGGAGATTAGTAGGATTTGGTTTTCCTCTCCCATCGTGTGACAATTGGCGGGGTTTGGGAAACAGCATTGTGGAACATGAAACATGTTGAAACTGCTAGATTACTGGGCTTTAGTGGAACAATGTGCCTTACATGTTATAAGAGAAGAATAATATTTAGGACTTTTTCTAAATGTACCTGACCTCAGAGTAATTTCAATGAGTTTCCCCTCCAATTGTGTCACTGCTAAGCCAGCTTTAAGAAACAATATATCATGAACTCTACAATTTACACCTCTTTGTGGGCAATTTCATTCACTGTCATTTAGTAGCTATTTATGTGCCGCTGCTGATCATAATTAGTAGCCAAGTTCATTCTCCTTTGTGTTCTAGAAATGTGTCTTTTGGAAATGCCATTGGAATATTTTGCAAGCAACTGAGAAAAATGTATGTCAATAGTTGGACTCAATATTTCCATCTATGTTTCTCTCCACCACAAGGGCATGCACACACACGTGACATATGTTCTTATATGGCCTTCACCTCAAGTATTCCCTATCTCTGGAAATATACTACCAAATAGTCAACTATTTAATATTGAAATGTTGATTGGAATCTGGGGTAAATCTTTGAAAAATCTTTATTTTTCTTCTTTACTACCCATATATACTCACCAAACCTTGATGAGATTATTTCTAAAATCTC